TCATTTGATGTTTGTTTGGGGTCCATTTTTTGAGGAGGGGTAGACAGGATCTTAATTAAAGTATCCATAAAATTAATAAAAATACTTGGTTTACAAAGTAAAACAAAACAAAGCCAATCTAAGTAGTCCATATAAAGTGTGTTGAGAAGTGCAATAATGAAGGAATCTATGGGTCGTCTGAAAACTCTCACTTAGGATCAGGTCTCACAAAAGTAAGTGTATGTTGGATCAGACCTTAAATTATCTAGGCTTTATAAAGGTATCACCCCAAATATATTTCAAAATTATTCTTTTTGTTTCACTTTCTATGATTGTAGTCTTTAACCCACAACTGTCACGGAGAATTAGTTTATTAATTTATCAGTTGAATAGCTGGCCAGTGATTAATAATTATGAAAGTGGCCTTTTGACTTGAAATCCATGACCTTTTGGTGCTCATTCTTTTTAAGGGCCAGATCTTGCAAAGTGCCAATCAGTTCCTGTAAGATGCAGAGCACCTTTTATTTTCCACTCCCTTAATTGGGGGCTAAAGTGAGTTCAGCACCAGTCAAGTTTGAGCCTGCCAGCAAGTGTAGCCTGAGTTGCTTGAAGTGCTTAGGAGTTTTGCTGGAGTAAAGTCTGGAGCGGGGGGATCCATTTCAACAATACTGTTCTCTTGAGTGAAGCAGGAACACTAGAGTCTACATACTTATGTAAACACACCTTCACATTAAACTAAGTTGGAGAAGGTTTCTTTAAATAAAAAAATAACACAATTCTAAGTTGAAGTATAATATATAGACCTTTATGTAGCAAAGCTACAAGCACAAGATTTCTTTTTTTTAAGATGTTTTACAGATCTCTTTATGAATCATTAAGTTTTCTGGAATCCTGAGCAGAATGTGATAGATTGGTTTTAAAAGGTTGCTGGTGTTTAGATTTGATTCAGTTCAAAGGGCCATGTCATAAGGAAGAATCAAAGGAAAATAAAGACTGCTACTTGTGTACAGCAATAATAAAAATGGAAAGGTACGGGAAGGGTCCAACAATTTGACTATCCACATAAAATCACAAATTCTTTACACCATTTTGAGATTTCACCGCTTGTTGCAACTGAGATTTATTTAAGGGGAAAAAATTTTCATTAAAATATTTCCACAGTTACAAACAGTGGATTAGATGATTTTGTTTTCTGGAGGAAATACATAAATAAATAAAGCAATCCTTCCAAAGAATAGGGTTTCAGGACTCTTTCTATGGTTCCTTTTCTTTAAAAAAAACTCAGTTAATTGAAAGGGATAGGTCACACACTGTGCTGGGGGAATTAAACATCATATCTTCAATGTATGTTATTTTAGCCTTTGTCAAAATAATAACTAGATAGGGTACCTTTCCATTCTTTCAAAAAATCATAACATTTTCCAAAAGAAAATACAATTTTGCATATATCTCTAAGGCAATTTGAACTCTTTCAGTTTCTTTAGCGAGTAAATAAATAAAAATTCCAGAATGGCTCCTGCCCAAAAGGAGAAAAAAGAAACACCTGACAACATTATATTTGTAAAAACAATGCTATTCTCCCACCAAGCTAATATGCTGCTCTTAAGTTCTCAACTGCTGTTCACAGTAATTAACTAAAACATGAAATATAGATGTGGATATACAAGAGACAAATTAGTATTGGGAAGCTGGCTTTAATAAACCTCTAAAAGATACCATCTGTTTATAAAGCCACCCGGCTCCCCATCATTGCTTTCCAGCATGTATTCCTAATTTAGACCCAGCTGCATTTTTTTTCTCTTTTTAAAGAAAACCCTGATACTATAAACTCTATTTACAGTATATCTGGTCTGAGTGTGTTTCAAGTTTTAGTTGTTATGTAAGCACTCAGGGGCAATAAAATTTCACTTACAATTGGGAGGTTTTTTAAACATCAGGTGGACAAAAATGTATTGCTTTCATTATTAGCCTTGACTAATACTTAATCCTCCTTTTCATGAATGCTGATCATATTATCATTCCTCCCTGGAACAGCTGTCTTAGATGCCTAGTGTTCTTGAAGTTATTGGTACTTATTTAGACTTGGATTTTTTTTGTTTGTCTGTTTCTTCAAAATGCTCTTAAATTACATTGTCAATAGAGCACATTACTTCTGGGGGTTGCAGGTGAGGTGATTTGCAGGTATGAAACAGCAAAGCAATTCACAGACTGCATTTTCAATCTGCTTTCAAGAAGAAAAGAGAGGAAAAAAACCACCATTGATTGTACACTTCTCACAGATAGAGGTCACTAATGGACTGAATTTGAATCAGTGTGGTAGAAGCCACAAACTTATATGAAAGTAATCTAGTGAGAAAAGGAACTTGGTATGAGATTAAAGAAGAGGTAGCAGAGATGATTAAGGAAACTTTCACCTTCACAGAAACAATATTATCTTAAGTATGCCCTCTTTCCAGGTTATTAAACAAAAAGTGCAGTTCATAAAAAGCCTGATACTGCGGCATATATGAATTCCTGTGTGGTTTTTCTGGGGTTTGTAAAGTGCAGCACCCCCCCCCCACACACACACACACACACACGCACTACCCTCCCTTTAAGAAGGGATGGACAAGTCAGACCTCATGAGATCCTGCACTTTAGCTATTTGCTATTTTAAGCAATTAAAGACTAGCACATTCCTGATTCTCAACTGAAACCATAGCCTATGTAATGCAGATTCCAACTTGGAGGGTGTAGGGTTGCTTTAGGGAGATGCATCTAAATCCTAAATCAAACTATCCAGCAGGCTAGGATATAAATGTGACTTGTAACAGTGGCTCAAATTAGATCCAGACCCTCAAAGGCAAACAGATAAAATCACACCAAATGAAATGCGGGGTGTGTATGTAAGGAAAAGAGGGGGAGGATGGATCCCTTCTGAACACGGGGTGCATTCCAACACAAGTTCTCTGTCGTTACAGGACTGGATTTTGGAGAACACTGATGAGAGTTTCAGTCAGGTAATTTTATCAGCATAATATTGACACGGTGATTGGAAATGCTCCACTCACACAATTTCTGGCCTGCACTGTCACATTTTTAACAGCCTTGCTACCATGTCTGGCTAGAGAATAATTTTTTAAATGGCAACTCTACTACAAATGGAAAAGAAGTTCAATGTCCATGTGCAATGTCCTTTCACAGGCAAAAAGCAGAAGCATGTAGCAGATATATTTTGAAACTCTTCCAATATTTCCATATGGATGCCTCCTCCTCTTTATATATATTATTTCCCAGAGCAAGAGCAACTATAGGATTTTATGATCATACTTCTTTTAAACTTGGAAATGGGAGTTTTTAGAGCACATCTGTTGTATCTTGCTTGGTGAGGCAGGGCCATGCTCCAGTGATAGCATTGCACATGTTGACTCTTTAAGGGATTGAGAGAAAGGGGGTGAAAGAGAAACAGAAAGAGAGATTTATTGGTGCAGTAGCCTGAAATCAATTTGGAAAAATGCCAGAACATTTTTCCTCCTTTTCCTTTCCAAAAATACATACTCCTATCAATGCGTTTCCTCTGGATCCTCTGGATAAAGGGTGCATTTGGCAGAGACTACAAGCTGTCAGTGAATGAAGTCTGTGGGAGTTTTGCCTAAGCGAGGACTGTAGGATTGCTGCTCCTTGTATTAGATCAGTCTTGAAATCTGAATTGGTTTTATTAGTTTATAAGCACTGAGAAGTTAGATGCAGTAAATAAACCTGTGTGTGTGTGACAGGGAGATACAGAAGGCTGGCTAGGTTTCATAAATATCTCTTCTGCAACCCACCCTTTCTGGTTAGCAAGGGATCTGTATGGCCAGAAAAGCAGCAGTTGAAGAAATCTAATCAGCACCTTCTACACACCATACAGGCTTTTACACGGATTTGTGCCTTGGACTTATGATCTTATTGTAAGCTTTAAACAGATTTCCTTCATTAAAATTAATTAAAAGCTCCTGTTGACTGATTTCCACTCTGACAAGAAGGTGAATGGTTTCTCCCTTAGTTTGCTGCTGATTTTATAATGGGCTTTTATCTCCCACTGGAGAGGTCTCTTCTGCTCTTTGATTTATTTTTTCTATTTTCCCTTCCTCCTTTCCTTTATTTTTATTTTTACGCTTTTCATTGATCATCCTCTATATGACTTGGGGCTGCTGAGTACTTGGAACTCTCCAGACAATCCCCCCATCCTCCCCCCCGCGTTTATGGAGCAATTGATAGGGATCCGATGAATTCTGGTGCCATTTACCTTCCCTCCTCTTGCCTGTTCCACCTGGGTTTCTTTAGGCTTGTCAGCAGTGAGCCAGCTAGTATTTCTTCCAGTCTAAGATTTTCTGTTAAAGTTACTGTTTTCCCAATGGATTCCTTGCCCCTCCCCCCCCCCCATCAGGTTGCATCCACCACGCACACCGCTCCAAAATTACAGCTCAAGGGGGACTCTAGAAATCGTGATGTTTCCCTTCAGCTTTTCCTGAAGCTCTTCCAAGAAGAGATCTTGGGGTGCATGGATGTGTGCGTGTATGTGTGTGGGGGGGTCGGTCTTTTGCAGAGATGCTAAGGTGCCACCGGGCTCTAGAGGACCACGACAGTCCCTGGCGCTGCTGAAGCGTCGCGCGTCGCGATCCCTCCCAAAGCCGCTCGGATTGAGCCGGAGCAGAGGCCGGCCACGAAGCTGCAATTCGCAAACTGGCGGAGAAGAGGCGAGAGCCCCTCGGAGCACTTGTCACATATTGTTCCCACATCTGTGCCGCTGTGTGTGTGCGGGTGTGCCGAGCACACGCACACACACGCGCGCGCACGCACACACACACACACACACACACACACACGCGTACAGTTGAGATGGCTGGTGATATTTCTGATACAAAACCTGATCCCAGATCATTAACTTTCCCTCCTTCTCTGGAGTTGCGGTGGGGAGGGCGGGAGCGGGGTGTGAAGCGTCAAAGTGCCGGGCACGGGAAGGAGCAGGGACAAGAAGAGAAATGAAATCCCAACTCTACCTGGCAGGCTCTGGGAGTCCTCGTCCGGCACGGATCATAATCCCCCTCTGCGCCTTTTGCCCCCCGCACCAAAACTTTTGCGGCGGGCGCTGCTGCTGCTTGTCCGCGGGGCTGGCGGCGGCTGTCGCCCTTTGCAGTATCCAGTGCGGCGCGGGCGGGGAGCTGCCGGAGCCCCAGCCCGTCCTGCAGGTCCGCTTCCCCGCAGGCTGGCGCGTGCCTGTGCCGCCTCTCCGGAGCGATCCCTTCTGCTCCTCTCTCCGGCCTCCCCTACGAGGCAGCGGCATCATCCTCCCCCTTGCTCCTCCACCTCCTCCTCCAACGCGCAGCCCAGGGCTCTGGCATCCCCGACGCACTTTCCCTCCGCGCTTCTCTGCCCTCCCTCCCCCGGTTCAGAGACGACGGAGCTGGCTCGCGCCCGGCAGCTTTCCCCGGAGCCGGAGGAGGAGGCAGGCGGGACGCCCGGGCCGAGCTGTCCGGCGCTCCGGCGGCGCGGGCTGCTCCGCGCTGCAGCGATGCCTCCGATCTGACTAGTCCCCGGGAATGTGAGTCGTGCCTTTTCCCCCCCGCTCGCTCTCCTGCCTGCCTGACACCCCAGGGAGATGTTTACAGTAATGAATTCAGTTGATAGCCATCTCTCTCCCCCCCCCTCTCCTGGAGTCCCTCCCACATTTCTGGGCTGAAGAATGCTTGGAAGGCAGGGCTGCAACCTAAAGCTTTCCAAGAGGCAAAGTCAGGCGAGGCTTTTAACTCATCCCTGGCTGCCAGCGGCTCTGCGAGCGGCGGCTCCCCGCGGCCGTCCTGCCCCGGGCTGCGGGCGGC